TGATTTGCTCAGCAGCCCCCCCCCCCAGATGCTCTCTGGGTCGATGTCCAGGCACACGACTGACCTCAGGTTGGGGGGGAGAAACCAACCCAAAGTCCTTTCTGAGAGGAAGAATTTTTTTTGGGGGGGGGAAATGGCCCCAAGTAGGCTCCTCCAATGGCTCAAGTTTGTCAGAAACTAAAGAAATCGGAAGGAGAGAGGGAGACTTCCTAGTCAAAAGTCCCTTCCTTCCTTCCTTCCTTCCTTCCTTCCTTCCTTCCTTCCTTCCTTCCTTCCTTCCTTCCTTCCTTCCTTCCTAATTCAAAGATTTCTCCCTGGACGCCCTTGTCAGGGCCACAGCCTAGGCTGGCCCCCCGATCAGATTTGCTGAAGCAAGGGCTGGAAAGAGCAGCTGGCGGCAGCAATCTGATGAAGAAACAAAGGAATGCCGCGCCGGTTCTGGGATCCCAGGTAAACACGCCCCTTTTATTACGGAGAGGACAGGAGCAGATGATTTGCGATTGGAAAACGGAGAGGGAGAGGAGGAGAGAGGGAGAAGCGGAGCAGATGATTTGCGATTGGAAAACGGAGAGGGAGAGGGAGAAGCGGAGCCGGGGGGAAGTCGCGGGGGAGAGGGGGGAGCGGTCGCAGGGAGCTGGTGCTTATCTGTCATCTGGCTTCTGTGTGCCAGCTGAGCCACGCGACCGCCCTTTCTTATTCTAATCAGCACATGCCTTTACAACTTTCGACAAACCTTCAGAGCAGGCGAAACTTATTCACCCGGCTCTCTCAAAATCAATACGTGGGCTCCAACCTTTGCAACGTGGGTATACGGGAAAGGGAAACCCTAATTCGGTGGGTGCCGGCTCACTGTGATCCCCATTTTCTCCCTTCCCCAACTCTGTCACCCATTTCATTTTTGCAGCGTGTGAAAGTCCTGAGTGGCTGGTGTACCAAGTCTGAGGAGACGCTTCCTTTCCCACATTAATTCTCAGTGACCTGCACATGTGAAGCAGGAAAAGCGGGAAAGGAGAGAGGAAGATTGAGGATTGTTGCAGGAAAGGATAAATAGGTTGCCCGAAGCCAAGAAACCACGTTTAATAATGATATTACGTATTCAAAGCCAGATCCTGTGCAAATCAGGGAAGTTTAATTGCCATTGCATTTAATTGGGATTACTCTCAAGTGAAGTGTGCTGTGAACTACATCTGTTAACTCCCCTTTGGACTTATTTCCTCCCAGAGATAACCGGGATCACATCTGAATGTGGACTGTTTCTGTTCATTGGGTTTGTCTTTGCAGCCATCTTATCATTGGCACCCCATTCTAAATAATAATAATAATAATAATAACAACAACAACAACAACAACAACAATCTGAATGCTCAGTTGACTGAGGTTCATGTTTAATGAATAAAAGATAACAATAATAATAATTTTATTATCACTTTGAATGTACACCAATCGGCATACTTCAAAATGAAATTTTGTTGCATACAGGTCTCAAAGGGCCACCACCTCCGATATATGCTCCTTGTTCGTGGCCAGCTCAAGTTTCAGAACGTCCCCGAAACAGCAACTGAGGCAATGGCTTCAAGTGAGCATATTGAGGAATAAATTTGATCCCTGGAGATGATTTAGTGTGAGACACTGTCAAAACAAATGTAATCTTGATGACAATTTTTGTTTTTATGATTGAGCAGCTAAAAAGACACCTAAGTGGTTAGGTGTGGCTACTTAAAATCCATTTTTGTGGTGAAACTAAGATCTTTATCAAAAATGTATCCCTAGTTTCCTGTAAATCTTGTCAATCACTGTGATTGTTAGAGCTGGTGCAAAATCTGCTGATGCAGGAAGATAAATGTGCAGGAGCCTTTTCTTCCAATTAAGTAATGTCAGTATCTAGAACAGAAAAAGAAGTCATACAAATGCCATTCCCTTGGTAGTTATGATTAAAAACAGATGTGGAATAACCAAAAACTGTTTTCAAAGAAACACCCAAGCTCATCCCTCTGAGGCATTTTTTTTTTTTTTGGCCTAACGACAGAGCTGACCTTAAAGCAGAGGTCTTCAGACTTGGCCCTTTTATGACTTGTGGACTTCAACTCCCAGAATTCCTCAGCCAGCATGCCTGGCTGAGGAATTCTGGGAGTTGAAGTCCACAAGTCATAAAAGGGCCAAGTTTGAAGACCCCTGCCTTAAAGATTATTATATCTACAAGGCAACCAATACTACTTAGTACGAAATCCCTCTCCCATAGTTAATAGCTGTTTAGAACTTCCAGATTGGCATGAGTGGGCTTTCTCTGCTCTGAATTCTGATTATGTCAGATGGATATTCTGGATTCATAGAAAGAAAGGAGACTTGTTGGAAGATCAACACTTCTCAGAACTTCCATCTCTCATGAAGAAATAAATGTCTCATTCACTTCAAGCTAGTCTTGCAGGCACTAGCTATACCTTCACATGTTTTGCCAAAGTGGAAGACTATCACTGTAGGTACCCCCTCCTCCTGTTTTCATTTTTTTTATTCCATTCAATTGTGTCAGATTCTTGTAGACTGCCTGGACAAATCCTTGCATTTTTTGTCAAGTTTTGCCACTGAAGTGATTTGCCACTGCCTATTTCCTAGGGCTTAGAAAAGATCACCCAGTTGGCTTTGTGCCTAAGGTGGGTATAGATAGAAGTTTTCATCTTAATAGCAGCTAAATATTCCACACTGTGCTCAACCCATATGAAATTTGCGGACCTATCACAAACATGTTTAAGACAATATTGGAGAGCATCTACTTCATTTCCACGTTTGTGCACATAACTGATTGATGTCCATTTTTCAATGATTTGGAATTATTATTAAGATTTATATACTGCTGTTCACTTCAGCAGAATTGAACTCCAAAGCATATCACGATCCATTCAAGCTATGTAGCTGGGGAATTCCAAAAGAGCTGGAGTTACCATGTTTCTTGTCTTGAACTGAATCAGAGTTCACCCAGCCAATGTACCTGGAAATATCTCCTTTTGTTATACTAATCAATGGCTTGGACCTCAAAGCAATTTCCTCCATGTCAATACCTCATGCCTTGGAGTTATCTTTTCTGGGTGGGGAGCCTTCCAAGAGATTAAATTCATGGCAAGCTGATGCTATGACTAATAACAATCTTTTGGGTTGATTTTTGATTTTTTTTTTGCCATCCAATGGGATCTTTCTAAACCATCTAACCCTATTTTAGCTCATTGTCTATACTGCTCAGGATGGTGATGGAAGTTGCTGTCTGTTTCTTTTGGAAGACGCTGGAATTGGGAAGGATGGTTGTTTTAGGCAAGTCCAATATCAAGGGAAGCTTTCCCACAGTGAATAAGCCATTATAGAATCAGTACCTCAAGTGAGCAATGTTAACCATATCATCCTTCTTAAAAGTGTCATTTTGCCTACTCGAGGGATACATATGGGATGGGGGAAAAACATTGATTAATCCTAAGAGTCAAAAGCTTCCAAATGGAATTAATTTTGCAGATTTGGATTCTGTGCATATAGTGGAGTAAATGTAATTTGTTGCTATAACAACATAGGTAGAATAAGACCTTTTCTCCAAATGGTTTAATGTTCATCTAACCCAGGGGTTCCCAACCAGGGGTGATCACACACCCCTGGGGGTGCGAGATGATATTCCAGGGGGTGTGAAAACTTGGATTTTCAAAATTATAGTGTACATACATAACTTGTTGCCCTTATTTTGAACTTTTGTAAGGAGTGCGAGAATATATCAGAAGTGTTCTAGGGGTGCGGGGTATAGAAAAGGTTGGGAACCACTGCTCTAGCCCATACTGTATCAGGAAATAGAAGTGATATCATAACTGGGTTGCCCAGATTGCAGCTCATCTTGTGTTCATATCACCTTACCAAGCATGTTATCATGATGTAGATTCCAGTATTTTTAGGTCAATGATTGTTCAGTATCCAGTTAGCAGCATGACTCTTATAGTCTACTGGTCATTAACCTAGTGGTAGTGGCTGAGCACATGCCCACATCACACTTCTGATTGTATCCTGCAAGAAAATCGCTGATTTTACTTCTCTCAAACTGGCAGGCAAATGGGCAGTTCTTGGTTGGGGGCTTCAGTTTTCCACTAGCCAGGAGAAATGAGACCTTTTGCAATGTGATGCAATCTTGCCTGCTGGCCACCCATATCCATACCCTTCTCTAGAAGGCTCCATTCCATCTTCTTTTCCATTTCCCTTCAACAATCTGCGTCCTGTGCTCCTTAACTCAGTTTTTTTATAGCTTTTAAAAAATATCTGCACATTTTGCTATTTCCTTTTTTAAACGAATGATTCCTTTTTGTATTATGTCCATAGCGATCTTATGTCTGGTTATGTACTGTACAGACCCATACAAATTCAATATGAATATGATAGTTAAATTGAACCCTCTATGTTCAAGGAACTAAATGGGAGAAGAAAGATATGTTTCCTTCATGCTTATAAACATAAGCTTGGTTTTACATATTGTGTGGAACTATCTTTTGCTTAACTCTAGTTCCTTGAGTAAGCCTCAGTTGATTGGATTCACATTGCCTCATGATTTAAGAATATAGAAATGTATATATCATATTAAGTTGAATCCAGGTAGCCCCCTTATCATTTATATCCAGAACAGGTACCACTTGACCAAGGGCTCCCTAAAACTTCTTACTTGGAGTTGTCTTGGGCTGAACTTTCTCCAGACCAAACAAGTTCTCTGCCCCTTAGTTATGACTGTTGCGTGGCAGAGGAAATGCTCCAGCAAGATGCATTCTTGATCTGCTCTTATAGTTTGTCTTGGCTATTTCCGGCCTCAGAAAGGCTGCTCACAGTCTTGCTGGGGAAGGATAACTACAAAGGTTTTTGCATCCTCCCCAGAAGGAAGTTGCAAATCTCCCACTTCTCACTCAGATCGCCAGACTCTCCAATCTGAAATTCTTTCAGAGCCTTTTGGAGCCAACTGGGCAAATTCTCAGGCTGCTCAAAGGACAGGGCTTCTTTTCTCTCTGCTCCCCCTTCACAGAAAGAGCGCAGGGTCCCCACCCTCTCTGATCTTGCTTCCTCCCCCTCTTCCCCCCCTTAAATAGGAACAAATTCACCTTGTCTTCTGCTTCTAACATTTTGTCCGTGCTGGTTAATGAGTTCAACGTAGTACAGTAAATTTGCTGAGGAATCAAAAAGTATTTAAAAGGGGGTTATGGTGCTGCCTTAATGAAAAAGGTAAGGATTTATCACTTTTTTTTCCTGCCTGGGTTTTTCTTCCAATCACCCTCCTTTCTCTCTCACTCCCCCCCTCCATTCAACATACTTTAACTTAAGCTGCCTTTGCATTGAGTTTTTGGGGAGGGGGGGTGGGGAAGAGCCAGCTAGAGAGACTGAAGCTGAAAGTGTGAGGGCGGAATCTAGAGACACACAGCAGCTAGGATGAAAAAACGCCATTTGGTTAGGAGCAGATGGCTGGCCAGGGGGGTGGATTGCATCTAAAGGCGTGTCATCCCCCTTCAGCTCGAATCCCTGAGGGCTCCCCTTGTCTTCAAAATCAATGAAAATTAAAGCACAGAGAAAGGATGAATGGAGAGACCTCGAGTCTCTTCTTTGTTCAGCCCAGCTACTGGTGGGCAGGAGTTAAACTACAACAGGCTCCTATAGAAACACTTAAGTTAAACAGTCTCCCCGTTAGCCCAGAAGCATCTGAGAAGAAGGGGCGGGGGAGCAAAGCAAAGAGGAAGGGGAGAGTCAAGAAAAAAAGAGCTTTCTGCTTGATTTCCCCAATACAGAATCGCGTGGCATAAATTAAGTTGGAAAAGAATAAGCGCTTTGGGCAGGATTCTGATGGATTTTATGATGCCTTTCAGTTCCGCTTTGCAGACCTAATCGAGAAATCTGTGCTGCGTCAATTTAACAAATCCTTGAGAGCGAAGGCAGGTTAGTCAAAAAGGTTTGGAAAGACTTTTTTTTTTTAAATGGAGGGGCAGGGGTTGATCCAGGGGAAGCAGGCTTTTAAGCCCTTGCACGCGTTAACTTTGATTCACACTCCTTCCCATAACAGGAATGTCAAATGAATCTCCAGAAAGTCTGGCTTCTAAGATCAAATCACCATGCATCCTCAATCTACTACTTCTTTATTCTACCACACCCCTGACTTAACCGGCCTAGGAAAAGATGCCACCACAACAAATTTCTCTTTGCATTTCTCTTCACCTTCCAGCCTGGCAATTGTCTTATGAAAAACAGATAAAGAGGGATTCTCTTGCATAAGAGGGCATGTTTTGCACAAGGGCCTTTGGTATTAATGAGATCCAGAAGGGTGGTTTTTTTTTTTTTAATCTTTTGTGTTCCAACTCAACTTCCTTTTGATAGTAGCTGGTGATAGAAATGTTTCTGGCTCAGTTTTCTGGGGCATTTCCAAGATATTTCTTAGTTGTTGTAGATTGTACACTTATCTGATGATAGTTTCTCTGAACATTGCCTCAAAGACCAATAGGGAACCTAAAGTGTTTGAGGAATGAGTCTTACTTACCCTTTTTGTTTACAATCCCTGACAACTGTAACAATGAAATCTCTGAGCTTTTACAAAAACTGTGAATAATTGAGAGTAACAGAAAAATAATTTTACTTCAGTGTATAGAATTACAGATGAATAGATGATACCTCCCATTTAAATAAATCTTTACATGAATTAGTGGTATAGAATTAAAGTGTGTCCAAACTTGAAAAACTTAAATTTGACAATACAGGATTTCACCCAATGGGTTCAAGAAGAAGTGCTGCCCATGGCCTATTTTAACTTACATAAAGTAGTTAAAGAATTCCCTTTCCTTCTAAACAGGCTGCATCAAGCCAAGAATGTAATGCAACCACAATTATTTTCTTCAGAAAACATTTACATTTGCAATACACAACTACAAATATATCTGCTGTTTTGCTATCCTGAGCAGCAAAGATCCATTTATGCTTCTGTGGAAAAGCACTTATCTAGGCATATTTTAATTTATTTCAGGCTCAAATTTCGTTCTGTACCCCATTTCTTGTGTTTTTTCACAGGCCTCTCATTTTAGACCAGTCTGTCTGCCACATACTTTCTTCATCAGCATTCCCCATCCAGATGCTCTTTATTCATTGGACTACAATCCCCATCATCTTATAGACCAACGTACACGAAAAGCACCAATTGCAGAAAGTTTACAATAAGGTATAGGCTAGCAGAGTAACCAGATAAACTTTCAAAAGACAACTGGATGATGATTCTCAGACTAATTTATTTCCCAGAGTTATTGTTTTTTTTTAAAAAAATCACTGCCCTGTAAGAAAAGACAAATACAAAGCTATATTTACAACCCCCCCCCGTGTCCTTGCATTTGACATGCAAACTTCAATAAACAGCAATATTTCTTCACTCTGGTTCTGTGGTATATGTGAATCATTTATTTTCCTGGAGGAACTGGAACAGCCTGCATTCCTTAAATATTGGACCTGTTAAAAGCAGGCATTCATACTGTGGCTAGAGTGAAAATCACTGCCTGTGCCACTTTGAGGAGGTTATTTTCAGGTGAAGATGTGAAGGCCATTTTATAGTTTTGACTTGGTTGGCGTTCTGAGTGTGCCTTTAATGAACTTAGGCTGCTTGGTGGAAGATGAGTCCATCATTTCCAAAATCAGATGATTGGGCCTCTAGTCAGTGTCCGTTCGGACTAATAGACTACGTGCACTGAGGCAAAAACCCATTCAGACCTATCAGAGACCAAACCACAAGGCTGGGATGTTGTCTATGCTTATAAACCACCATACACTTTCCTATTCCCTCTAGTGCAAACCTCAGCAGAAAAAAACAAAAATTAAGATATTTGATTAGAATGAGCCAACATTTTGCAAAAAGTGCACTCCCCATGCCATGTTTGACACCTTGCATAAAACTAAGGTTTGTTTAACAATAGTCTTCTCTCCTCCCTCCCAAAACTACCCCTTAATTGGCTAAATGTACATAATCAAAAACATAACTATTTTATGGCATACCACGCTGAGTAAACTTAGCTATTATATTCAATGTTAAATTTCTCATACGCCACCAGGAAAAGTAGACTTGTCTTCTCCAATGCATATCCAATTAGTGATTTTCTTTTAATTGACCTTCAACAGCAATTGGATTTGATGAAGTGGTTTAGATTTTTTTTTTCTCTTGTGCTCCTCACTCCCCCCCTCACCCAACATGCACATTGTAAGGCAATTTGTGATCAAGCCATCTGCTTCAATGAAAGTCGCATTTTATCATTGGAAAGGCCGTTCAAATCCTATAATGCGACCATAAAGATTTCCAGCGGGCCATACATACAGGGAAGCTACCTCTTCCTGGCCAAATCTCTTTCACCATCTTAAGCTGCCCTGGAATCTCTAGCACTTCAAATGACTTTTGCGCAGATAGTTAAGGCTGCCCTAAAACTGCCTGTTTGTGGAGGGGTTTTGCAATGTGGCCCATCTTCCTTTCCCTATCAGTGCCAACTTCCTGGTATTGCTGTTGCTTAATTCTTTCTAAATTCTTGCTTCCAGGAAGGCAGACTTACTAAATTTTGCTCTGATAACAGAGTGTTCCTTTCTCTATAAGTGTGTTTTTTAACCAACATAACAGCTTCCGCGTTGATAGATGCATTAAAAGGAAAAAGGGGGGAGGGGAGAAAAAAAAGGTAAAGATTGACACAAGAGTAGGTTTCCCCCCCTCATTTCGGATAAGGTAGGGAGGGGAAGGAAGGCCGTGGAAAGGGATTTCTTTTTTAAAATGGGCGCACATTGTTGTAGAGTCAGTAGCGTGCGCTGAGGGGAGCTCTTTCTCTCGGTTGCATTGTGCAGAGAGCAGGTGCTTGTCCACATTACCATACAGCTGAGGGCACAAAGCGCCAACTGATGCAGGCCTCCCATAATAACAAACTGCCTTAATGACAGCCACGCGAACGACCCACACCGCTCACGTTAAACACACACACGCACACAACACAAAAAGTACGCTCAGAGAAGGAAAAAAAAGGCAGAAAGAGACAGCTAAAGGCACGGGGAAAGAAGAGAAGAAACGAAGTTGGGGCCTCGATCATTGCAAGTTCGCCAAGAATTCAGGGGAAGGGGGGGGGGTGAATGGAGCGAGGGACTGAAAGAGCTTCTTTTGGGGTCTTTAAAAAGCAAGACTGTTTACCCAGCCAAACTTCCCTCGTCCCTCCCTCCCCCTCATCCCCCTCTTGGAACTTAACACAAGGCAAGAGTCTTTTCCGGATTGTTTGCAACTGAAAGTCTTCGGGGTTTATTGCGCGTAAGGATCAAGGAAAGGCGCGCAGGGACTTTTTGAAACCTTCCTATCCAACTCATCCCCCCCCCCATCTGGCTCTAGGGTCCTCCAACTCCATAGCGCAAGCAACCGAGGGTTTAACCGTCTTTGAAAAACCAACAAGCTTACAACAGACACTTTGGGGAATCTGACTGGGTCTACGTCTCCCGAATTCGCGTTTCCTTCCCTCGTCCTGTTTCTCCCAGACATACAGAGTTCAAGGGATGCCGATTCCCAGCGGAAGAGACTCCCCTGCGCTAGATAAATGCGTTGTACTACAGTTCTCATCACTTTGGGTCAAGGTGAGGGGAATTGTAATCCGACATCGAAAAGGGTCGAGGACTGCCCCACTGCGGACGGCTTTACGCATCCCTGCAGACTATGCTTAAGAAGCGAGAAGAAAAAGCTCAATGTGCGCACGTTAATATATAAATATATACACATTTGAAGACGTTTCCAAAACTCAGCGTTTTTCGATGCTCGAAAGGTTCCCTGCATTTTTCACATTCAGAGAAGAAAAAGCGCGAGCGAGACGCTCTTATTGGGAAAGAAGAGCCAGGGTGTGCGTGTGGCGGGGAAGGTCGCTTCTTGCGGTTACCAAATTTGCAGGCATGTAAATCTGCTCCTCCTCCCCCTTCAGATTTTGGTGGGAGCTGAAGGGGAGGGGAAGAGGACGAGGGTTGCCCATTTTACAGCTCACTGACCATTTGGTGATCCATTGAGCGGGAGGCTTGGAAAAGTGGTTCCTTTGTGACCGCTCTAGCCAGACTGGGGGGCTGCTCATTTGCATCTCATTAGCCATGCAGGCGGCCGGTGAGATATAAGGCACGCAGGCGCCCGAACACAGGCAGATCCTTAGCGCTACAGAGCAAGCCAGCGAGCAAAAAATTAAAAAAAGAAAAAAAAAACCGAAAAAAAAGAAAAAGAAAAAAAAGGGAATAATTTTACTCCAATCCGGCAGGCGCTTTCAAGGCGAAAGCAAAGCTCACCCATGACTAAAGCGGAGAGCAGACATTAACGCGGGTACCGCTAGCCATCGATTTTGGAAGCCCACGAAGCAACAACATTTTCCTTGTTTTTTTGCGGCGGCAGGGGGGGGGGAAAGGCTTGGATTTCTTTGTTTAAAAAAACAAAAAAGCAACACATCGATCGGAATTCATAGCCAGAAAGTGGCGACCAGCAAAGCTTGGGGGATTTGCAAACGGCTGCTTGTGCGTAATCGCCAACCCCTCCGCAAACACATGCACGCCAAAACAAAAAACCCGCCACTCTACGCCTGAAGCCACCGGGAATTATCTTCTCGTCCCCTGAGGGATTTCCAGATCGTTGATTATTTTAATCTGCTTTGGGAAGTCTTTTCTTCATCCCTGGGAATTAAGTGGCTTTTCTCTCCTTTGCTTTGGTTGGAGCTAGAGAAACCAAAGCGCCAAGAACTGTATCTGGAAGGGGAAGCCAAGAGGAGGGTAGTCCTTGAGCCTAATTCATCTTTAAAACAAGATCTGTCAGTCAACTAAAGGGCGTATCTGAAACGCATCGACGAGGGGGGTCGCGGGGGGAGAAAGAGAGAGAGAAAGACTCCAAACAAATAAATCTTCATTCTAATCCCCCTCCGGCCAGGCTCGGAGCGGAGAACCGTCCGGACCCTCGGCTTGACAGAAGCTCGTCTTGGTTTGCCGTTTTTTTTTCCCGTTGGAAAAGAAAGCCGGGGACAAGAAGGGAAGAAGCCCAGACCTCTTCCCTATTCCCCCGTTTCACCAGCCCTGACAAAATGGGAGGACGGTCCACGCTGGCTTTAGTTGTCTTTTGCGTGCTTCAGCTTCCCTACCAGGTAAGCCTCAGGGTGATGAGGGGGTGCGTGCCGACGGGGCTCTGGCATTCCACCACCCAAAAAGTTGGGGGCCCCTCTCCGGGAGCGCAGCGGCGCTCATCCTTCCAGCTCTGGCGAAGGCTGGGGTGGGGAGCGCGCGAGGAGAAGCGTCTGTCCTCCCTAGTGAAAGAGAGCCCAGAACCGCTTCCTCGCGCGTTCCCACGAGAAGCTTCCGCGTTCTCGTGAAGGAAAGCGCGGCTCGAGGGCTTCCTTAGCATTCCCGGGACTGCGATACTCGGGACACGTGCTCTCCTCCGCGCGTTTCTCTCTCTCTCTCTCTCCCACCCCCGGTCGGAGTGTCGTGAGGTGCTGGGTGGGCATCAACTGGGCGCATCGCCATGGACAATTCGGCCTCCGCGCTCGGCTCGGCGGGAGGTTGCCCATTATGCGCGGCGGCGGGGGAGGGGGGCGCATCGGACGAGCGCCGCAGTCCGCCTGCAGCGCCGCGGCGGCAGAACTTTCATTGATCCATTTGCCCCGCCCCTTCGAGTTGATCCCGGCCCAACTGCGACGCTGCCCCCAAACAACCCTCGTTGCTCCAGCCTCTAGTCTAACCTATGCCATTACCTCTCTCCACCACCTCCAACTCCCCCCCCCCGGCCCTTCTCCGCAGGTTTGGACCTCCGGCGTCTTCGAGCTGAAGCTGCAGGAGTTTGTCAATAAGAAGGGGCTTCTGGGCAACCGCAACTGCTGCCGAGAGGGCCTGGGCTCCGCCAATGCTGGCGCCGGCGCTCCGGCTGGCTTGCAACAGTGCGACTGCAAAACTTTCTTCCGCGTGTGCCTTAAGCACTACCAAGCTAGCGTGTCCCCAGAGCCGCCTTGTACCTACGGCAGTACCGTCACTCCGGTTCTTGGAGCTAACTCGTTCAGCGTCCCCGACAGCGCCGACATCAGCGGCAGCGAACCGTCTTTCAACAACCCCATCCGGTTCCCCTTCGGCTTCACCTGGCCGGTAATGTCGCCGGAACCTCTTAGGAGGGTCCTGGGATTGAGAGGCGGAGGGTTACATGCAAGAGGGTAGACTTAAGTCCATATCGAAGAGGCTTAAATTGCATTAAATTGCAGGGGAAGAACTGCCAATTATTTGGAAATGACAATGCCACTGTTTATTTGGTCACAGATACAGATGAGAGCCATCTTGTAATTAGGAAGTTAGGATTGTCTTGCCAGTGGTAAAAAAAAAAGTCTTAACTGTTACTTTGGTGATCTGTATTGGGATAACACCCTATAATATATACAATATATACATTTTACACACACACACACACACACACACACACACACACTGCTATAAATCACTAGTGAGGAAATGACCTTGGAATGCCATGCTATCTAGTTTAGAAGTGGATGTTCACAATGGAAAATGCATGGTCCAGAAGTCCAGAGAGGATGGATTATTTTTAGTCTTTCCAGAAGATGGAACACTTAATGGTACTCTTGAATGCACTTAAATAGAGGGATTCTGGGTTCAGAACCAAGGGATCCAATTTATTTCATGTTATATAGAAAAAAGTTTTTTATGGGAGGCTTTTATTGTGCACTTATTCCTCTTGTTCACAGAATATTATATGGGCTCAGATATTATTTGCCTTTGTCACCTCCTGTGCCTTTTTTCCTCTTTCCTCATGATTTTCTTTATGCCAAAGGAAAGGAACAGCTCTGCACCCATTTAAAATGCTAGAAGCCACTTGTTTGCATGCTGTAAGAGCAGGCAACAGGTTATCCTCTGATCAGCATTTCTGCAACCAGGCAACTTTTAAGATGCGTGGACTGCATGGCTGCCTGGAAGATTCTGGGAGTTGAAGTCTAAACATCTGACAGTTGCCAAGCTGGAGAAACACTGATCTAAATGATTTGGTCTACATTTCCTGCAGTCCACTGCCATTGGCTTTTCTGGCTGTAGTTGATGAGAGTTGAAATCTCAAAATCCTGGATGGTACCAGGTTGTCCTTCATTGATGTAATCAAAATGGGTGCCTGTTTTGTAAACAGAACTTTTTTCTCATCCTGCAAAAAGTGTCTGACCCTTTCTCAAGATCTTCAGTTAAATGGCTGCTTTCCTGGTGTTTCCTGGAGTATTCAGTGCAGCTGAATACTCAGATTACCAATGCTGCTGACTTGAACCAGATGGTGGTTTTCTATCGGAATATCATTATTCTACAGTTCTA